GCATCATCGAGTTGGCACGCGAGTACCCTAACGGGCGGGACGGGTCCGGCGGACCTTAACGGGCGGGTCGGGTCGGGTCGGGCGGACATGAAAGTATGGTGCGCCATCGAGTTGGCACGCGAGTACCCTAACGGGCGGGACGGGTCCGGCGGGCGGGCGGACCCTGACGGGCAGGACGGGTCGGGTCGGGCGGGCGGACCCTAACGGGCGGACGGGTCGGGTCGGGCGGGCAGGACATTAAAGTATGATGCGCCATCGAGTTGGCACGCGAATACCGTCACGGGCGGGACGGGTCGGGCGGGCAAACCCTAACGGGCGGGACGGGTCGGGTGGGTGGCCCTCGATGATGGATGAGGGAGGAGAGGGGAGGAGGAAGTAGGGAGGGAGGAGGGATGTGGGGCGGGGGGACGTAGCGGCAACGAGGGATGGGGGAGGGCGGGAGGGCAGAGAGGGATGGATGAGGTGGAGGAGAGGGAGAAGAGGAGGAGGAGCAGCAGCAGCAGCAACAGCAGCAGCAGCAGTGTAATGAGAGAGAGTAGCAGGAGGGAATCGCCTCTGCGGAACCCGTCCTGTGGAACCGGTCCTGTGGAACCAGTCCTGTGGAACCAGGCTTGTGGAACCAGTTCTGTGGTACCAGTCCTGCGGAACCAGCCCTGTGGAACCGGTTCCGTGGAACCCGTTCTGCGGAACCGGTCCTGTTGAACCGGTCTTTGTTGAACCGGTCCTTGCTGAACTGGTCGTCTGTTGAACCGGTGTCTGTTGAACCGGTCGTCTGTTGAACCGGTCCCTGTTGAACTGGTCGTCTGTTGAACCGGTCTTCTTCCGTTCTGCCACGTAGCACTTTCCGAGCACAGTTCGCCTGTGCGGTTGCCCCTGTCACCCCCCATGCCGCAGTCGCGAACATAGCGTCGCATTCGCGAACACTGTTCGCAGGCATGCGACTGCTGGTGAAGTATCCTGCAGCCGAAATACACGCAAAGAAACTGCTGGCTGCTCACTCCGTAGGTGATGCACTTTCCTGCGCCGCACTGCGGTCGCTGCGCTGGGAACTCCGCGCGGTCTTCTCGCGCCTCTCGTCGCCCCGTCTGACCGCGGGGCGGTCGCACTTGTACTTCCCGCGCATCACGTTCAAGATCAGCTCCCGGCCAATACTCCCGTGAGTCCTCCATGTCACGAGTATCGCACCAGAGCATGTCGGCGACGTGCCTGGCACGGAGCTGGTCAGAGAACCACCACCGCAGGGGGCCTGAAGCCGGACCCGCAGGATCCACGGCAACGGCCGCGAAAATGGCACGCCGCCCACGACCGCGGTTGCCGGGATAGCGCAACGTCCTTCCTCCCCCAGCCTCCTGATATCCTCGGCTGAGACCGGGCCCGGATCATCTTTTGGAGCACATGGAGCGGCCTGCAAACCGCCAGTCCCGCCGCGCGCTGCGAGCAGCTCAGGTCCGGAAGAAGACCTGCACACGAGCTTGCGCGAATGGCTCATGGCATCAACTAAGGCGGCAGACCTCTTCGCCAGTGCTGCGACACTTGCCGAGGCGGATGCAGACGGCGCTCCGCCGTAGCCCGCCCCCCCCCCCCCCCTCTTGAAGGACCCGTCGCTGCGCGCGCAGATCTGGCCAGCGCGCCCCACTGCAGGAGACGCAACGCGCGCCGTGATCTTCTGCGCGGCGAGGACCGCAGAATTGAGCTGCAGAACGCGTCGCGCAATCAGCTTGTTTTCGGCCCGTTGCAGCGCCACGATGCACACCGCGACGCGGCGCTGGGCGAGCGTGAGCAGGGCGCAAGCAGCTGCTCCCAATAAGGCCACGGAAAAGTCGGGTAGTTGACCTCCCGCGGGCTTGTCGGCCTTCGCCTCGACCAAATCGAAGTGCCTGATGGGCAACAGGGCATCGATGCACTCGCCCTAGCGGAGCGTCGCGGCCACGTCGGGGCTGCGGCGCCAGTGGGCATCGCAGTTGGCGAAGCTGTCGTGGTCCCCCATCATCTTGACGAAGACGCTCTCGATGTGGTCGATGGGCTGATCGGCGTGCTCCTATTGTCCAGCGAACGTGAGATCGTCGACGCGCTTGGATAACATGGGCACGAGTTTTGAGTCGCCAGCAACACAGTTGCCAGACGTCTCACGTTTAACCCTCGAGCTCCGGGCCCCACCTGGCGGGCTTAGCGCCGCGCTCCAATGAGCGCGTGACCCATGCCAATTCCACTGAGAAGGCCCGGGGCGCATCCTTGCAGCCCATGCCCAGCTCGATGCACGGCAAGCACTCAGACCTGTCGTCGAGGACTCGTAGCCGGGCACCTGCCCGACGATAGCTGCACTCCTGGGCGGCAGGGTGAAGTTCACCCCGCGTGGCGCATCACCTTGTCCCTGCATCTCGGCATGCGCCATGCCCTGCAGGAGTGCCGTCTCAACGTCCACGGCGACGTAGATCCAGTCTAGGCGGCGCGCCGCCTCCGAGGACAGGATGCGCTGCAGGGCGCGCTTGGCTGCCCCCGCGAAGGTCTCCAGGGCGCCGGCGCCCATGTCGCGAAAGTCTCTGAGCGACATGCGGCGCCAGATGATGCGCGGGGTCTTGTCGCGGGGACCCACCAGGTGCTTCCACTTGAAGACGCGCCCGAGGTCCATGGCGTTTCGGGCGCCCTTGAGCGGTCGCCGTTCGAAACAGTTGTGCATGACCCAGATGGCGAGCTCCTCGAGGATGGCGGCGGACACCTTCTTGGACTGCCTGAACACCTCTGCCTCGGTCAGGAGCTCGGCGTCGCGCTCAATGACGGCGGCCATGACGGCGGCGTACACGTCTAGCGCGGCTGCGCAAGAAGCGCCGGCAACAGTTGCTGGACGTCTCCTCGTTGGCGCTCAAGAATGTTTCACGCACGCCGCGGTCGAGGCACAACCCCACGCGGCTTCCTCGCTCGCCCCCCTCCTCAAACTTGGCGCAGTCGTCTCGTCTAGGGCGGCACCGCGCTGGCAGTAGTGGCACTGCACGCATCTGCCTTGGCGCTGGCTCCGAGAGCGGTTCCAATACGGTTGGACAGACAGGCTGCGGCGGCGGCGGGTGGGCGCCGCGATCCGTGCAGGTCATGACGTCGTGTTTGTACAGGTGGCTGTCCTGGATGTACGCCTCAGCGCACATGAGGGTTATGAACACGGACGGCATGGTGATCCAGAGGAGGAACCTTGCCGAACACGAGGTCCACGATGTGGAAAGGGGCGAACCGCAAGAGGCTGACATAGGTGTGCCACGTGGGCCAGAGCGACGTGAAGACTGTAGGTAGCGGATGGGAGCCGGAGCTCCGTTTCCAGCTGTGAGTACGGCGGTGGCGACAAAAGATGTACTTTCATTTAATACGGTGAAGAATGCAAATATACAGCGGGCACGGGAGCGGTGCGGGCTCCTGCACCCCAAGGCCAAAGGGCAATAGAAAACGTAAACACGTGAGGCAGGGAGAGAATAAGGATAGATAGGAGACATACCGCTCGAGCATTAGAGGAGGAAGAAGAGAAGGAGGAGGAGGAGGAGGAGGAGGAGGAGGAGGAGGAGGAGGAGGAGGAGGAGATTGAGGAGGATCGGGGAGGAGGAGGATCGGGAATCGAGGAGGCCCTCCCCTAAGGGCTGTCCCCCTGGGACCGGCTCTTCATCCCGAGCTGTTTTTGCTGCGGCCCCCGGGGCACGTGGAGGCCCGGCGGGGGCCTAGGGAAGGAGGGGAAGCCTCCAGGACTTCTGCCCACCAGGATTAAGTCGGGCGTGTCCCCCTACAGGGGGATGTTGCGCGAAAACCAAACATGCCCTTAAAAATACTCCAAACATGCGCAACAACAGTCAGAAAAAATAGGTCCCCAGACTATGCCTTGACTATCTTTGAATATCCCTCCTGTAGAGGGACAGGCTCGACTCAACACCAGGGCCCAAGTCCTCGCGCGAACCCAGAGACCCGAGGATCTGTTTTTGTCCGTCCGGCGGTGGCTCCTGGATCTCGGCCTCCGGGGGCCCGTTCCCGGGCCCGGGTGCCATCAGGGCTGGGAAAAAAACACCCAGGGAAGGGGTCCCCAGACATCCAACGTCTCGATTTTTTCGAGACGCGGGCCCCCGACCTCCCGACCACTTCCCTGGGGCCGGTTTTTCATCCCGAGCCGTTTTTTGACGGTCCCGAGGCCCGGCGAGGGCCCCGAGAGGCCAAAAACTACGAGAAACATCCGCCTCGACTTCTTCGCGACGCCCGAGGTCTGGGTTGGGACCCCCTGGCGCCGCGGATGGGAAAAATCATACCGACGGGTGCCTGAGCCTTGGGAATGTCTGGGGGGTCAGGTCTGTAGGAGAGCCCGCAGGGGCGTCGGCAGGACCGTCCTAGTCGCTCGTTGCCGTGGCCCTTGGTTCGCAAAGTTTCGCGTCAACGTTCCTCCTCCTCCTCCTCCTCCTCCTCCTCCTCCTCCTCCTCCTCCTCCTCCTCCTCCTCCTGCTCCTCCTCCTCCTCCTCCTCCTCCTCCTCCTCCTCCTCCTCCTCCTGTGCTCTTGGTGCTCTTGGGGGGCTCAGGCTGAGCCCCCTCGGGCGAGCGAGCGGCCACCCGCAGGAGTGACCCCAGGCAGGAGTGGCCCTCGGCGCGGGGCCCACGGGTGGGCCCTTCGGGGGCACCACCCCAGCGCGCGGGCCGCTGCTGTCGCGCATCGCATGCGGCGATCGGGGCCGCGCCAGAGGTCACTCCCCAGACCTCGGGCGTCTCGAAAAAAATCGAGGCGGAGGTTTTTCATAGTTTTCGGCCTCGAGGGGCCCTCGCCGGGCCTCGGGACCGTCAAAAAACGACTCGGGATGAAAAGCCGGTCCCAGGGAAGTGGTCGGGAGGTCGGGGGCCCGCGTCTCGAAAAAATCGAGACGTCGGATGTTTGGGTCTCACGCGTAGTCGAGGACGAGTGCCTCAGACCAGCTCGATCGACGGACTGGCCAGCCAAGCGGCCTGATCGAGCCATCGTCGACAGATCGAGGGATACTGAGCGCACTGCAGCCTGCCGGAGCTCGCGTTGAGCGCGCGGATCCACCTGCGCAGGGGAGCCGAATACCGGTGCACTCTAGACATGCAACTATTCGGCCCGATATCGTTTCGCCGCCGCCGCCGCCTCATCCTCAGGCCTCTGGGCGCCTCTGTTTCTCATCGTGTACGCGGTGACCGCCTGGGAGAGGTTTCTTGCAGACGTGCTGGAGGGTCCCGGAGACGCTGATTGGGGACATGCTGGGGAGCCTCTCTTCGCGGTCTCGCGGGTCCGTCTTCGAGCCGTCCCGGGGCGCCTGGGGAAGCACGATAGGGGGGGCTCGTTCAAGGGATCTGTTGCCATCTGGGGCTCCTCTGCACCGTCTCAGGTATCTCTTGAGGCCGTCGTCGAATCTTCTTCTGCCCATCCTGGACCGTCTTGGGGATCTTCAATCGGGGATGGACAGACCTCCCTTTATTAAACCGTGCTTTAGTGAAAACGACATGAGCCCCAAACCTGGCGGGCGCAAGCCTGGAAACTAACGGCCGCGGCGCCCTCTCGAGAGCCGAAAACGGACAATTCACTAATCGACGTGTCACTGTTGGGGGTTCTGTCCGCCCCCGATTCAAGCCTCGCTGGGCTGTCCTGGCGGCCAATTGGCCTGTCTTGGGCCCCCGTCTTGGGCCGGGCCCGGGTCTCTCGGAGGCTTGCTCGGCCCTGTCGGCCTCTGGTGGCTGTTGTCGGGCCCCAGCCATGCACAAACAACTTGGGATGAGAAACCGATCCGAGAGAGCGAGAGAGAGAGAGAGAGAGAAAAAAAAAAAAAAAAAAAAAAAAAAAAAAAGTGAGCCTAAGCAAGAGTGACCTTTGTTGCGTGGACTGAGGGGGCGCAAGGTGCCCAAATCCAGGCGCGCAAGCAGCCGCTGACGCATCGCGCTCAGCGATCGAGGAAACCCCGAGGAGCCCGCACAAAAGGTCACTCCAGCGAAGGGTCACCCCATGGGGCTCCGGCGCGTCCCGCCGGGGTCCCGGAGTGGAAAACAAGCTGGTAAGCTTAGGTATGTATTACGCCTTAGGCGTTGCCATATCCCAGGCTTAGGCTCATAGCGCATGAGCAAGAGAGCAAGACGAAGCATGGGATCTGGGGTAAAGAGTAGGATGGGCATCGTCAATGGAAAAGGATGTTTTCCGATCTCAGATGCAAGTAGTGCGCCTCGGTGAGGCACAGTCACATATCAGGCCGGGCCCGGCTTGAGCCAGGCACGGCAGCGGTACATGCTCGATTTATACCTCGCCTTTAACCTTCTCCGTTTAAAGTCGGAGGGGGAGGAGACGAGCAGGTACCGCACTTCTATTATACGGAAAAACAGTACTAAGCAGCAGCGGCTGCCTACAAGGAAGGGGCGCGCGAGTAGCCTCGCTACCGGCGAGTTACCTCGCTACTAAAACGCACCTGCCCGCGGGTTTCCCCGCTGGCTCGGGAGGCAGGGCCGTCCTGAGACGACCTGCCCGCCCTATACGGCGTATGTTTCTTCAGCTCGTGCTTGAAGGATTGCTGGCCGGCCATTACTTGTAGGAGCAACGCGCGGTCAATGCTACCTTTGGTATGACCATCGGCAGTCATATCCCGCGTGTCACACCATTGGACGCTTTCCACGATTCCACGTTCCATCATCTGGCGAATCCAGCTGATGTGCCCAAGCAGAGTACACTCTGTGGGCTTCTTCAGATCCTTGCTAGACAAAGATTTGAAGACAGACTCGGCATCAATAGTCAGAGTGACTTTGATACATAGACCACCCATTTCCAATATGTTCTTCAACTGTGTGGGGGTCAATGGTCCCGAGTGTAGCTCGTGGAGCGTTACAATGGTCGGGTAGCAGTCTTCCAAGTTGTGGGCTGCTGCCAGTGTTTCCGCAGAGTAGCTCGAACGCACTTGCAGTCGATGAGACTTGCAGTATGCGTCCACCAGGTGCACGACGGGTTTCCCCGCTTGCGTGTGGCCACGCCTCAGCAGGTTAGCCCCGCGGATACCATAGCCTTGACTTCGTCGTCTTCATCTCCGTTGAGACGACGATAGCCAGAATCGCTATGCAGGTCGACTTCTCCTGTTGGAGTCATAGCGTGATACACGATCTTCTTCGGACCTGCCTGCAATTTTCTGGTAACCGCGTTTAGTCGTCGTACCTGGATGTTTGTCGGTTCTTGGATACGTTGTAGTGAGACAACATAGACCATTAGCCATACCTGCGTGATCAACGCATAGGCTAGAGCGCCACGAAGACTGACGAACATATCAGAAATTGTCTTCGTCGCCTTGCTTTCAGGATCAGCTCCTGTGAGTTCTGGATGTGTGATAGGACGAAGCTGTTTGATGTATTCGTCTTGATCGAGAGTGACGCTTCCATCATCGGTCTTGTTGTACCGAACAGCACAGTTCGTGTATGTGTGCTTGTTCAGTTTGCACTTACCAAACGTATCTTCAACACACTTGACATACTTGTCAATAGCCTCTTCCTTCCCAGTCATATTGATGTCATCAACGTGCTTGGCTGTCAAGAGGTTTGGGCTCATCTCGAACTCTTCGTCGTATGAAGTAGGTTGTAGCCCAAAGCTCCTAGTGATGGACCTGAGTTTCAGCGAGAATGCCCTGGGAGCATCCTTCGTGCCCGTCCCCGGTTTCAGACACCGGAGACAATGCTTTGATTCGTCATATGACTCAAAGCCTGGCAGTGTGCGAAGGACCGCTGCTGATCCAGGTGGTAGTGTGAAACACACTACACGTTCTTTCTCGCCCGTTGCCGCGGCGAGCTCGCCATAGGTCAGTCCCTTCAGGAAAGCCATGTTGATGTCCAGGGAAGCGATAATCCAAGCTTTGTTGCATGCAGCAGAACTTGCGAGCAGTCTCTGGCTTGACCTCCTTGCCGTGCCAGAGAAGGTTTCGACATCAAAGGCTTCGAGATCCATGAAGCCACGGAGTACCAAGCGTAACCGGATCGTTCTTTCCATTTCGCCCTTTTCGTTCTTGACAAACTTCCATTTGTATACGTAGCGTGACGTCATGATGTTAGACGCCTTGCTTAAGTCGGTCATCTGGAAGCATTTGTTGTCAAGCCAAGTCTTCAGTTCTGTGTAGAGGGCTTTGGATACTTTGACCGGATTTGCTTGGATGTCGGCCTTCGTGAGGAGATCGTCTTCCTTGACGACCACGGCACGTTTGGAGGCAGCGCTAACGTATACTCGCATAGTTGTGACGCTGCTGTCATCCAACAGTCGGTGTTGCTGCTCGGACAGGACGACTTTGGACATATCTGCAGTGAAGCAGAGCTCGATGTACTTCCCGTGCTCATCAGAGTCCAGATCATATTTACTGTCCGGATCCGTGGAGCATAAGGGAATGTAGTAAGAAGTGTCAATGTCGTATCCTGGCGGGTGACCCCGCTCCGGCAAGTGGCCTTGCACATCTTCACAGGTCGTAGAGACTAACACACACTGTGTGTCTGTCATGTATGTAGGAACTGTATGCATGACTTCCTCTGTGTCAGCTTCAAGGAGCGTTCTGTCATCCATCAGTTCAGCATACCACGACTCCAAGACAAAAGCATCCAGATCTTCTTCTGTCTCCTCTATGATGGTCGGGAGCCGACCATCGTTGTCCGTAGGAGGCTCCTCAGGAGCAGCTGCTGGAGGTGATTCGCTTGGTGGTGGACCATCAGCGAGTTCCTCAAACTTAGTGAGGTCTTGGTCAAACCCAGCAGACGGCTTCCTGGATTTAAGACACTGGATGATGCGTGAGTGTGTAGATCCTGTGATGTCGTAGATGTTCAAGGCAGTGCCATCAGCTTCATAGTAATGAAAGCCAGGGGTCACATCGTTATCATAGTGCACTAGTGTACAGCTGTCTGCATAGGGTGCAGCAGGCAGCTTCGTCAGGCTCTTAGCAAGTCGTACAGCAACAACGTTTTCAATACGAAAGTAGTTGCGTATGAGGTACTGGAGAGCCAAGTGCACTTTAGGCGAAAGTCGGCTCGCAGCAGTCATCTGCAGCCGACCCTGTTTCGCTGGTAGATATCCGAAAGTCATGGCGGGTTTCCCCGCTGGCAGACCGGCAATAAAGGCCAATACTGTCCGAAGGGCCGTATTGTCCGATCCTATCTCGCGGACCATAAGTGCTTCGATGTACAGTGTGTGTCGTGTGTCAGGATACTGTACTCGCACTTCGCGATTGCCGACCTTTACGATGACCTGGCCTCGGTCAGGTTCGTTGCGGATGACCGGGTATGGACCACTCCATCCACCCCAGTCGTCTTTCGTGGTGGTCGGACGATGATAGTCCACGAGATCTCCTTCTTTATAGTGAAATTCACCCGTAGCAGTAGTCTTTGTACGGAGAGCCCTGTTCGTCTTGGCAACCGCAGTGGCCTGCGTGATTGCCTCCAGACTAACCCTCCTGATTGTTTCCTCCCTTGAGTGATCTGATGATTCAGTGGGCTGATCATGATCCAAGACAGGGAAATCAGGAAGCATAGCTGGTTGTCTGCCATACAGCGCATTGTACGGGGACACTCCATTGTAGAAGGTAAATGCGTTGCTGGCAAACAAGGCTTCATGTAAGAGACGAGTGAAATTGAGAGGGATATGTAATCTATTCAATTCTTCTCCCATCACGTGTAGGAGGTGTCGCAGGATGCCGTTCCTAGCTTCGATAGTTGTAGCGTGTTGGCCACGCGCTCGAATACGAAGCTCTGTTCCCTTAGCCTTAAGGATGGCCTTTGCTGTATCATTATTCAGTGCTCCTTCCCCATCGGAGTATAAGATTTTAGCAGGGCCATGCTGCATCCAAGTCGTATGATAGGCATCGAGAACAGTATGCATAGCTTTATCAGGAATCTCTGTGCCAGCTGCCCAGCGAATACAACGGTCGATGATGTGAAAAACAATATGTTCCTGTTTGTAAAAGAACAGATCACATTCGACTTCCTCGTTGAAACGTCCTGGCAGTGACACAGAAGGCATCACCGTGTTGCCTGGTTTGTCCCAGGCTCGACATTCTCTACACGAGTCACAAA